GGGGTGGGGACGGGGAAACTGGGGAAGATGGGGTGCCGGAGGAGAGTCGTGGGGGCCAAGGAGCACCTTGGCTGTCTGGAGTCTGGCGGGAGTGGGGAAGGACTGAGGGGCTAGCTCAGGCAGCAGGGGCGGTGGGGCCTGGGAGCCCACGAGGAGAAGGGTGGGCTCCCAGGGAAGCAGGGCAACATCGGCAGGGGCGCTGGGCCTGAGCTAGGGCTGGAGCGGAGGGGAGCCAGACACTCATCCCGGGAACTTTTGGTTTCAGGACGTGGCGGCTGGTCGGACAAGGGGAAGCTGCTGGGCAGGGCTCGACCCCACACCTGGGCAGTGGAGGTGTAGCTGGCAGCAGTGGGCAGGTGAGGACCGCCATCTGCCGGGCAGGTGAGTCCACTTCCCTCCCTGGGCCTCACTGCGCTGGCCTTCTAGAAGAAGGCTGGAGAGCGAGGACCAGCAAGGAGAAGTGGCTGTCCTCCCGGCAGAGCGGCAGGAAGAAGGCAGGATGGTAGGCACAGGTGACATCTTCTCGGGGGGAGCCGAGACGGAGAGAGACTGGGGGGCCCAGGGTCCATTCCAGGTGGAAAGAGCATTTTGAGTGGGCAGGATAGAGAAGGGAAGGGCTGCCAGCGAGGACCGAGGCTGCTGCCTCCAGGGAGGTGACAGGTGACCTGGGGGTGGTAGTGGAGTCTGTGGGAATCCATCTAGCACTGTGGGAGTATCCCAGGTCCAGGTCGGGCAGAGCGAGGTGGGGTCACAGGATACAGAGGGGTCCCCAGCCGCCACCACATCCCACCCACCGTAATTCATCTAGGAGAAGGTACAGAAGCGGCTCTGGCGGGTCTCTCGAGGCCTGTGCCAGAGCCTCGAAGGCCGGAGAGCGGGAAAGAAGGGCAGTGCGCGGGCAGCACAGAAGGACGTCACCTGGGGGGAGCGGTGGTCGTGGGTGGCGGGCTCCAGAGAGATATCGCAGCAAGGAGGCTGCAGCGGGCCCAGCCTGTGGATGCACCGTTCCCACGCGGCACTGCGGCCCAGAGGCTGGCGCGGAGAGGGCCCACAGTGGACTTGGTGACACTGTATGCCCTAACCGCTCAGCTGCTGGGTCTGGCATGGCAGACAGGACAGCACCAGGGGAGCCAAGGGCATGGGCAAGGCCAGACAAGGCGAGACGGGCGGGGTAGAGCGAGTGAGCTCTCTAAGGGGGGAGTCGGGGCAGGCAGGTGAGGGGCCACCAGGCGGCGAGCCAACGAGGCACTGGCCTCCAGAGCCCGTGGCCAAGGCGGGCATCACGGGCAGCGACGGAGCAGTGATCGGTGCCTTCAAGCTCAAGACTGGAGACAAGGGTAAGTGCCTAGCCCAGTCTGCTTCCCTGCTGCCCACCAGATCCTCCTTATCCAACCAGCACCCTCTGTTCTCCCCAAAGACAGGTCTCCAGCAGGGGTGCACACGCCAGCCCCCGAAGGCCAGGACGCCAGGCGCAGGGATGTACTGGAAAGACATGACATGGTCCGGTGTGATGGCGAGGACAGAGGGACTGCCGTCCGGCCTTCGTGGTGAGAATGTCCCTCTGCCCGCTACAAAGTCCAGCCCAGCCGACCCTCACAGACACCCTCTTGCTCATGCCCAGCTCTGTCCTCTACAGAACACTCTGGCTGGCACCACGGGGCAGGCTGCCACAGAAGGGTCTGGTCCTTTGCTTTTCCGAAAGAGTTAACACACCACTGCTGCTCTCTGGACCCCCTAGAACCCTCAAGAAATAAAGGTGAGGGCCTCCTCTGGCACCTGGGCAGGGCGGGGCAGGCCAGGAGTGGGGGCCTCATTCTGTCTCCATTGCAGAAATGGTGCTACCCAGCTCACGTCTGGGCCTTCAACTCCGGGGACTTCTTCAAGTCCGTCTAGCTCTGGATCAAGAATATGCTGCGTTTGGGAACCACTGCATACCTGACTCAGGAATCGGCTCTGTAG